CACTGTACACCCTCCCCCCGTGCACCCCCCATCGTGCAACACCACCACCGTGCATCTCCCAATGTGCACACACCCACTGTGCAAATACCCCACCGTGCACACACCACCACCGTGCACGCCCCACTGTGCACACACCCCACCATGCACACACCCCACCATGCACACACCCACCATGCACACACCCACTGTGCATGCCCCACTGTGACACACCACCACCGTGCACCCCCCGCTGTGCACACACCCCACCGTGCACACACCCACTGTGACACACCACCACCGTGCACACACCCACTGTGCACACACCACCACCGTGCACACACCCACTGTGACACACCACCACCGTGCACCCCACACTGTGCACACACCCCACCGTGCACACACCCACTGTGCATACATGCCACCGTGCACCCCACCCTGTGCACACACCCCACCGTGCACACACCCCACCGTGCACACACCCCACTGTGCACACACCCCACCGTGCACACACCCCACCGTGCACACACCCCACCGTGCACACCCCACTGTGCACACACCCCACCGTGCACACACCCCACCATGCACACCCCACCATGCACACACCCCACCGTGCACACCCCACCGTGCACACACCCCACCGTGCACACCCCACCATGCACACACCCCACCGTGCACACCCCACCATGCACACACACCCACCGTGCACACACCCCACCGTGCACCCCCACTGTGCACACACCCCACTGTGCACACACCCACTGTGCACACACCCACCGTGCACACACCCCACTGTGCACACACCCCACTGTGCACACACCCCACTGTGCACACACCCCACCATGCACACACCCACTGTGCACACACCCACTGTGCACACACCCCACCATGCACACACCCACCGTGCACCCCCCACCTTACACACCCACCGTGCACACACCCACTGTGCACACACCCCACCGTGCACGCCACACTGTGACACACCACCACGGTGCACCCCCCGCTGTGCACAGACCCCACCGTGCACACACCAACTGTGACACACCACCACCGTGCACGCCACACTGTGACACACCACCACGGTGCACCCCCCGCTGTGCACAGACCCCACCGTGCACACACCAACTGTGACACACCACCACGGTGCACCCCACACTGTGCACACACCCCACCGTGCACACCCCACCATGCACACACCCCACCGTGCACACCCCACTGTGCACACACCCCACCGTGCACTCCCCACTGTGCACACACCACCACCGTGCACACACCCCACTGTGCACACACCCCACCGTGCACCCCCCACTGTGCACACATCCCACTGTGCACACACCACCACCGTGCACACACCCCACTGTGCACACACCCCACCGTGCACCCCCCACTGTGCACACACCCCACTGTGCACACACCACCACCGTGCACACACCCCACTGTGCACACACCCCACCGTGCACCCCCCACTGTGCACACACCCCACCGTGCACCCCCCACTGTGCACACACCCCACTGTGCACCCCCCACTGTGCACACACCCCACCGTGCACACACCCACCGTGCACACACCCCACTGTGCACACACCCCACCGTGCACACACCCACCGTGCACACACCACTGCACACCCACCGTGCACACACCCACTGTGCACTCACCACCACCGTGCACCCCACACTGTGCACACACCCCACCGTGCACACACCCACTGTACACACACCCCACCATGCACACACCCCACCGTGCACACACCACCACCGTGCACACACCACCACTGTGCACACACCACCACTGTGCACCCCACCGTGCACACACCCACTGTGACACACCACCACCGTGCACCCCCCACTGTGCACACACCCCACCATGCACACACCCACTGTGCACACACCCCACCGTTCACCCCCCACTGTGCACACACCCACTGTGCACACACCCACCGTGCACACACCCACCATGCACACACCCCACCGTGCACACACCCACTGTGACACACCACCACTGTGCACCCCCTATTGTGCAACACCACCACCGTGCACCCCCTACTGTGCACACACCCCACGGTGCACACACCCATTGTGCACACACCCCACCATTCACCCCCCACTGTGCACACACCCCACCGTGCACACACCCATTGTGCACACACCACCACCGTGCACCCCCCACTGTGCACACACCCCACCGTGCACACACCCATTGTGCACACACCACCACCGTTCACCCCCCACTGTGCACACACCCACTGTACACACCCCCACCATGCACCTCCCATCGTGCACACACCCTACCGTGCATACCCTCACCATGCACATCCCCACTGAGCTCTCCCCACTATACACACACCACCATACACACCCCCACGGTACACCCCCCCCGCTGTACACACCCTCACTGTGCACACCCCACCATGCACAAACCCCTCCATGCACACACCCCACCGTGCACACCCCCACTGTGCACCCCCTCACCATGCACACTCCCACCGTGCACATCCCCACCGTGCACACCCCCACTGTGCACACCCCCCACCGTGCACACACAGTGTCCTACTCTGACCCCTGCCAGCCAGGCTATAGGGGCCTCAAGCCAAGGTGCTCCATTCCTTCCTTCCACATTTACAACGGGAAACCTACAATTACATTTTTTGACAGGCAACCTTAGGTTTGGGAATATTGATTCTTGTATTTCCAGTTTGTATTAATTTCCCAGCAACCAGAAATTCTCCTGAAGGCCCTGGTTTAGTTCTTTCAGAAGCATGGAAAAATAGAAATACAGACACTGTACAGAAACACTAAGGAATGGAACCATCAGCCAGAACTGCAGAAAGCAACCGCTGCCTGGCCACCTCGCACGCCTGACATCCCATGCCACCCATTTGCTAGAAGAGCTGACCAGCAGGTGCCTCATCAGAGCAAGATTTGTTGGCCATGCAACCACAGTGAGACACTAGGAACTTGGATTCGAAGCTGCTCACTGACAAAGTCTACCCAACCCCAGAGCCCCAAGCCAGTGGGTCAGCACGCCCCCCAGGTCCCCAGGCCCGGGGCCTAGAATCGGACTGTCTTATGGGAGTGAACGCCTGATCAATGCTGCAGACCCACACTGCAGGGGAGAGACACGGCTGGACGCACAGCGCGGGGCACGTCCTGGGGGAAAGCGTCAGCAGCACTCGCCCTCCTTGGGAGGGACCGTAGGGCCAGTCTCTGAGGAAAGGCTCTTCCCACGTGGTCAGCGGCCTCACACTTCCTTAGCTGAGGGCACATCTCCACACGCAGTACCTGCCCAAGCCTAGAGGATGTGCCTTCCCCGGACACATCCATAGGATGGGGTGGCTCTGGGTCACTGCACAGCCCACTTCTTGCTGTAGAAGAGTGAACAGCTTTCAGTCCTGTGAGCTGGTGGGCCCCTGAGAGGTGTGTGTGTGGGGGGGGGCGGGGGGCTCTTGTGTTCAGTTCTGGGGCTCCTCCTCCTCCTGGGAACTGTGAAAACCTTCCCTGAGCATCTCCCCCCGACCTTTCCCGTGGGCCCTGGAGAAAGCTGAGTGGGACATGCCCTGAGAACGGACAGATTTGAGCGAGTCCCAGAGCAGCTGTGGCAGGATTAGGAAGGGACTCGGTCTTCCCCAGCAGCGACCACGCTGTGCGGCGTCCATGGTGCAGAGGGCTCTTCTAAGCACGGCACCCCTCCTCCCAGCAAGGGCGCCTGAGCTGCTCTGACTTTCCTCCCTAACGGAGAGGAGTGTCTAACGGTCCTGCCATGTAGTTACATGTCACTGTCTCTGGGGTAGGAGGGAAGTGAGTGCAGTTGGCTGAATGCAAGAGGAGGGAACAATGGCAATTGGAGGCAACCCAGCCTATACGTGCCCCCTCCCCTGAGGACTACAAGTCACATGAGCTGTGGAACTAGCCACGCACGTAATAACACCCACATCAGCTCTAATTTCTACTCAAGGGCATCGATGTCTGGTTCTTAGACTGCTCATTACTAAAGGCAAAACAAAGGACCTGAAATTATATACCCCCCCATACAACAAGCATGCCCACATGGAGCTCACGGGTCCTAGGGGAGACCCTGGGGCCCCCCCTACATGCCGGGCGCACAGCTGCAGGCAACCCGACCCTCAGGAGTGGGACGAGTCCCTGTGGGAAGCGGGGAACTGCCCTGTCACCAACCGGCTGGGAGGCGTGGGGAAAATCCCCACTCATCTAGGCTTCTATTTCTCGCATGCTTACTCATGGTTTTCTTTTTTTCTGAATATTAAAGCTATGCACATTCCGTGTAGAAAACATGGAAAGCCCAGAATAAAATAAAGAGGAAACCCATCATGGATCATTTCATTGACAAAAAGCCACTGCTGTTAATATTTTGAAAATTTTGCTTCCAGGCTTATTTTATGCATACTGATCCTTACTTTTACACTTTGGGAGATAATTAGAGTGTACTGCACACACAACTTAATTTCTAGGTTTTTAAAACACATTTTAATTGGTTTTTAGAGAGAAAGAAAAAAGGGAGGAGAGAGAGAGAGAAACACTGATGTGAGAGCGGAACATTGGGCTGCCTCCTGCACCCCACCTACAGGGGATCCAGCCCAAAACCTAGGCCGGTGCCCTGACAGGGAACCGAACCGCTACCTTTCAGCGCACAGGATGACACCCAGGCAACTGAGCCACATCAGCCAGGGCAATTTCTAGCTTTTTGTAATCCAACATTAAATCATGACCATCTTTCTGTGTTATTAAAAGCTGCCTGAGTATTACCTTCATGGCCATATAATACTCCATTTTGGGAATGCATCATAACTGAGTCAGCCCGCTCCCGTGGCTACATTGCTTCCAGTTTGTATACTATGGGTAACAGAGGGGAGCATCTTTGTAACATGAAATGTTTGGTGCATCTTGGATTATGCTATGCGGATGAATTCTAAAGGTCCTTGTCATGTGTTTACATTTCACTTTCTCTGGGAGTGAGTGCATTGGCTGGATGAAGAAGGAAAAAACAACATCCAGTGAGTGTGAGCCCGTCAGAGGTGGCCGCTGCTCCAGGGCTCCAGCTGGTGGCTGTCATGTGGGCCAGGAGCCAGGGTGCTGCTGGACTGCGCGCCCTTCCAAAGAAGCCGGACACCCACAGTCTCCACGGATGCGGCAGCACTGGCAGCAGCGGCGCACTTGCCCTTCAGGATGGCCGGCAGCCTCTCCGCAGCGGCCACTCTGCCCAGGGGGACCGCGGCGTTTCCGGGCACGCGCAGCACCGTGGCCCCGTTAGGGTGCTGGAAAGCGGCTACAATGCGTGTCCAAGGGCCACACCACAGAGTTTTGTAGCTTTCGCCAATTTCAAAACTCGGTTGTTCCTTCTTTCTGTTTCTTCCCACACGTGGAAACGGCCACAGCGCCGACCTCTAAGTCCAGCTAGAGTCCCGAGAGCAGAACCAGAGGCCTGTGTGCTCCTCCTTAACAACTCGCCCCTCGTGTCCAGAAACCAGGCGAGTTAAAAGCTCCCGCGAAAGCCTGGTGCTCCCGGAGGCAGGCCCCGGGAAGCGGGTGGCTAGGGCCTCCCGGGGGCTGAGGCTCGGCTGGAGGCCGGGAGGAGCAGCGCTGCGAGAGCAGGTGTGCACCACGCCAGCCTGTTCCACATGGGCCGCGCGCGGCTCTGACAGCAATCACAGCGGGCCTCCCGAACGAGCGAGAAGAAAGGATTCTGAACACCCAAATCCCTGGTCACAAAGCCCACGGAGGTGCCTTTTATGCCTCTGCCATCTGTCATTGTAAACTTCACAACAGCCCCTGCGCCTTGCGGTGTGGATGGTCCTGTGGGGTCACCGGGAGCGGCTCGGACCCCTGACAGCAGCACAATGTGCGCCCAGGTGAGGACCCGGAGACAATCCTGCCAAACAGACTCGAGGGGTCAGCGGCTCAGAGAGCAAGAGCCACTTAAACCCTCTAATTGGAAATAATTCCGAGGTTTTCAGACATGACGTAGTGACAATAAGGTGCAAACACCGGATTAGTGACCTCCGAAAGACAGAGCGCTTTTGTTCCGTCTTTGTCAGAGCAGGATTTCGCCCTGTGTTTTCAAATTCCCATCAACTGCCCTGCGTGAATTTGAATTTAAAGTTTACAATTAAATAACGGCCAGGGTTAGCTCCTGAGTTCCCCGTTCCAGGTCAAGGAGCAGGACATATGTGAGGGGCTTGGGGAGGGGCAGTAACGCAGGGAAAGTGGCCAGCCAGCATTTTCCCTCTGGCCCTTCCCACAGGCAGCTCACCAAATGCACACCTTCAACTGCTGTCCCGGGGGAGAAGCCTCATGCATTCTCAGTGGTTTGGGTTTAGTTGTTGCCTTTTCTTTTCTTTTCTTTTTTTATTTTTTCAGAGAGGAAGGGAAAGGGAGCGAGAGATAGAAACATCAGTGATGAGAGAGAATCATTGATCGGCTGCCTCCTGCACACCCCAACACTGGAGATCGAGCCCCCAACCCCGGCATGTGCCCTGACTAGAAATCAAACCATGGCCTCTTGGTTCAGAGGTCGATGCTCAACCACTGAGCCACGCTGGCCGGGCAGTTGTTGCTTTTTAAAGCCAGTCTTGTCAAGGACGTTAGCCCTAGACGAGTTTTCTCATTTTGTTTTTCTGTTATTTTAATATTCTGTAGAATTTCACTGAGCTGTACAAGCAACATAAAAGAAAAAAGGTTTCTGAAAATGAGTCTGGACCTGGTTTGGTTCGAGTGGTATAAACATTTGCAAAACTCAATATTGAAACAAAACCATTTTTTAAAAAGGCACCTTGTTGCTCCTGGAAGCCTTGCAGAATTTACTGCTGACTTTGGTCCAGTAAAGTGACAGTTCCAGCATCATGTCCTGCAGGACAGGGCAGCCCACAGGTACAGGGGCAGGGGTCCCCAATACCCAGACAAGCCCACCGCTGCTTCCTGGGGGATCTCATGCTGGGCTCCCTGCAACGTGCTGGACTTGAACACTCCCCTAGCTACAGAGTGGAGGAGCTGGACTTGAACCCAAGTCTGTCTGTCTGTCTGTCTGTCTCCAAAGCTCCCAGTCTTCACAGTGCAAACCTGTGTGCAGCTCCGGCCCAAGAGGAAGGCGCTCAGGGGCCCCCAGCCTTCCGCTACCTTGAGTGAAATACACACTGATGTCCTCCAAAGAGCTGTGAGCAACCTGGGGACAGTAAGCATGCCCAGCCCAGCCAAGCTTCATGCCACTCGGGGAACCTGAGTGACGGACGCCCAGCCTCTGCTGCAGCTGGGGTGGTGAGGGGTCTTCCCCGAGTCTTTACACAGGAATGCAAGCAGCTGCTCAGGTGACAGGTTCACGTGCACACGGAAATGGAAAGCTTGTTTTCCTGGTAAAAAACAACGTGTGAAACCAGCTGCAAAATTGCAAATAAACGCAGGAAGTGGGAGGCGGGGTCTGGGGCCAGGCGGGCTGTGTGAACAGGACTGAGGTGACTAGACATCCTTGTGGCCAAACAAAGGCTTCCCAGGGTTTCAGAAGCTGCCTCTTCTCTGCCCTTTTTTGGGGGAGAGAGTGGGGAGATTTTCAAATTTACTTGGTTTAATCTTGCTTTTTGTTAATTAATTAATTAAATATTTATTGTTGAAAGTATTACATATGTCCCCCCCCATCATTAACCCCTTCTAGCCTGCCCCCACCGGCGCCCCTGGCCTTCACCCCCCTATTGCCTGTGTCCGTGGGTCCCGCGCCCTCTTTGAGGGGACAGACCTAGCATGGCCCCAGAGTCAGGAACCCGAGCGCCACCCTCCCCACAAGCTGAGCTCACACACACCTCAGCGTGGGTGTCGCTGGGCACCAGGCACCTGCTGAACTCACACCGCAACGAGTGAGAAGCAAGACCTGAGTGCCACCACCCGCGCTCCTGCTCGCCGAGCCCCCGAAACCAGAGTCCGCACGTTGGAAATGGTGTCAGCTTTCACCTCTGACCAAGCCCCTGCCATGGAGGCCTCGGGGTCAGCAGCAGCTGTGAGTCCTCCGCCTGCTCCCTGAGCCCCGGCCTGTCTCCCTCCTGCTTCCTGCAGGTGCACGCCTGCCTGGCCGGCCGCTGCCTCCCTGTCACAGGGCTCTGATGAATAGATTGTCTGTGTTTTCTTTTCGCATTCCTTCTCATGGCTGGACTGTGTGCCAGCCGCCCAGCTGTGCATGTCAAGCAAAATGTACTGGGGTCAGCGGATCCTCACATGGCACCAAAGTGCACAGCGTGCAAAACAAAGGCCACCCAACCACGGCCTGCTCGCTCTAGAAAGCTCGGCAGGAGCAGTAACGGCCGCGAGCCCGCACCTCCAAACGCCCGGGCACGCAGCACCATTTCGTGTCATGACGCCATTCTTTCTCTCGCTCTCTTTCACATTTTTTAAGATTTTTCAAATGTAGTTATGCAAAATGCTTCTGTTTTTCATCTCTCTGTGCCAACACTAACATTTTACAAAGCCCAGCAGATAAAATCAGCTCAGGTGGAGTATATCCTGAACACGAGGCTATAACTGATTCAGCTCCGCAATTTGACCTTTAGCTGCCGGGTAGAAGTGGAGACACGTGCTGAGAGAAATGGTGAATTTCTTTTTATGTTCTATACAAAGGGCCCAGCCCTCCTCAAGCATGTGAGCTCTTGGTAAAGCAGCAAATGCTTAAAAACTGCAGGAAAATCTGAAGGCAGCTTCCTGTTTCGCCCGCGGAGAGAAGAGGGGTCGTTTCCACCTGAGCTGAAGCAGGGGGAGTGCAGAAAGGGCCACGGAAACATTCTCTTCCTGCCGCCGCCGCGATATCTTAAAGAAGTGGCATTTGCATTTTGTTCCAGAACTAAATAGAATGAGCTCAGGCCGTAGGGAAAGTACATGTGTACAGCCCAGCCCGGAGTCCGCCCGTGACACCTGACATTCCACGCTGGCTGAGAGCGCCTTTCTCCAGCCGGCTGCTGAGCGCGCCCTCCCAGCCAAGGACAGATGTGGCTGCCACGCCTTGAGAAACAAATGCCACGCAGCAGACCGCCACCGCAGGCTCACACACCTGCAGGTGACATCACCGGCTCTAGCTCGCCCCAGAAATCTATTAACATGCAGAAGCAGGTGTCATCAAACCAAAACCCACTCTTAGAAAGCGTTTACCTCATCCGCCTGGGAGTGCAAATGACAAATGAGATGCTGAACTTCCATTCACCTTCCTTGCCCGACTCGGGCTCCCCGGACACCTGGCCCCTCGCGACCCAAGGACTCCATATGCAGCCAGAACGGAAGCTTGCAGAAAGCCCACTCCCTGGATATTGCATATTCCTTTGTTGCATGGAATTCGGTCTCTTTAGCAAAAGTAGTTGTCATAACCAGGTCAGCCTTCACTAATTTCTTGACCCTGAAACGACTTTTCTCTTTGCATCTGTGACTGGGCAGATAGAAGGTACTCAGTATAGGCATGGAGCTCATTTCTTAAAATGATGTATCTAGGATTCATTTCAAAATACTTCAGCAGGAGGTAAAGGGCAGGATAGAGATGAACTAAAATTGTCAAAATTTGATAATTCTAGAAACTGTGGGAGGTAATTGGAAATCCACTATGCTATTCCCTTTTGTGTTTTGAAATTCCTCATAATAAATATATTCTTAGTTCTTAATATATTTTTATTGATTTCAGAGAGGAAAGAAGAGGGAGAAAGAGATAGAAACACCAATGTTGAGAATAGCTGCTTAGTTGCCTTCTGCATGTCTCCTACCGGGTTATTGAGCCCGCAACCTGGGCATGTGCTCTGATTGGGAATCAAACCAAGATCTCCTGGTTCATTGGTCAATGCTCAACCACTGTAACACTAGCCAGGGATAAGTATATATTTAAATATGCAGCAATATTTCCAGCTGTTGGCCAACTCCTCTTCCCTCCCTCCTTCGTAAAAGAATCCCACTTTTGTTCATGTAAGTCACCTTCCTCCATGGACCCACTGTGCTTCGCCAAGCCCATCAGTCACCCCAATTCTCTTGCTAAGGACCGCCTCAGCAGCGGGCAGGTGGTGGATCTGGCCAATGAGTGTTGAGGGGAAGTCCCTTGACAGGTTTCTGGAAAAGAAGTTTCCATGCTGCTACACAGAAGGGGAAGGGCTGGGTGGGTCCTCTTCTTCAGATAAATGTTGCTGTGTCCACCTGCGACAGCAAGAACCTCAGCAGCCATTTTGCGACCATGAGGGAATCAGCCAAAATCAAAACCCATCTGCTGAGTGTGACAGAGAGGAAAGATCAAAGCAAGCCCGGTCCTGGAGGATGTCACCAAGCTACCGAAACCACCTCTCTGAAACGGCCTCACTTCAGGAATCATTCAGATACTGTTTAAAGCAGGTGAGCCAGAGTTTCCTGTTACGCATAGCTGAGCGCATCCCACCCGATGTAAAATCACTGTTCAGTGAACCAAAGAAAGAACAGGTGAAGACAAAAGAAAATAAAGAAGACTAGAGAGAATTATCCAACAGTCTTAGGAGCAGCACGAGTCTTAGTAAAGCCAACATTGTTGTAATTTCAAGCCAGGGCTGATATTTACATTATCCATGCCCCTAGCTCACAGGTTTCCTCTCTCTTATTGAGCAGCACACAGTATATATTTTACTTCTCTGGAAGCCAATCAGACCCTTCCCTGCATCTTCTCTTGCCAAGTAGCTCTTTGATTTGTTTGCAACATTGGTTCCAATGGTATCTCAAAGTTACAGCTTTATCCAGGTTAATGGGGCTCCCAAGAGACTGGAAAGTGCATGGTCTTTATAAAGCAGCTGTGTGGCCTCGGACAAATGCCTCACCCTCTCTGAGCACCAGTGCCCCCATCTGTAAGACAGTGATGTCCACTGTAGGGGCTGGGAGAGTTGAACGGGGAAGCATGCAGCATGTGGTCTAAACACAGCTGTCGCCAACCTTTCGGACCTGACGGACCACCCTAGGTCCGCGGCAGACCAGTAGCTGGCGACCGCTGGTCTAAAGCATAGCTCACAGCCATTTCAGCCACATCAAGACCGGCTTTAAGGTCAGGGGTCACTGTTGGCAACTGAAATAAAAGTAACAAGTATCAAAGAAGAAACAATAGCATTTTCCTTTTTAGGCAGTTTTGTCTCCCACACCTCACATTTCTTTTTTCCCTACCTACTCTGATCACAGAGGACATGTGATTAAAAAAGAAGATGCCAAGAGGTACCCTTTCAAACAAAACAGGCAGCCCCTCGAGGTCAGTCAGCTGCCTCAGCTGGAAGAGAGCGCCTCGGAACACAGGCTGGTCGCTCCTTCCCCGACCCCCCTCCAGCCTCTCCATGTGAGGCATCGAGGTGGGGGCAGCTGAGAGGAGCTGTAGTCTCTGAACTCTTGACCTCCCCCCCCCCAGGGCAGGACCACCAGTCTCCTCCCTTTCCCAAGGGAGGACAGAAAACGCATGAAGCCTGGTCCCTCCTGGATCACTGGGAGCGGGGCCGCTCCCCAGGGTCGAGCAGTGCTCTCCAGACTCTGCCACCTGGGCGGCCCTCCACGGCTTCTGTCACATCATCCCACCTGAAGTCTCCTTCACACTCTCCCATAAACCTGCTCTGCTCTACGGAAATACATTTATTTTAGAAGAAAGGTTTCCATCAGCATCGTCTGCCCTTCCAGCCCACAGGCTGTATAGTCCCTGCTGATGACCCCGAACAAGCACCCCGCCCCAGGGCTGGGCTGGATCACGGCTGTGAGCTGCATGAAACCACCCCGGACCCCCAGAGGTGTTGTTGCCACACTTTGGGAAACACATCTTCTGTTGGGAGTCAATGACCTGAGTTCGAATCCCCACGTCCACCTGGTGTAAAACCACACGTCCCACCTCCTTCCTGAGCCTCTGCC